GTTATTTTTCATATTATATAAATACAAGTATTTGTCATAAATATATAAGACAGCTATTTTCTTATACAAGAAATACAGTATAAATATAATAATACAATACAGTTAAATTTAAATATATAGACCTATTTAATTTGTATTTAAAAACAAAAATATATTTGTAACCAACAATATTACTGGTATTTAAAATTACCAGTAATATCCAGCAATTAACTAAATAATAATAAAAATAAATGTTTTCAATGATTTTTAAATCATCATCATCATGTTAAAACAGCTATTGAATACATAATAAGTTTTAAAATAAAAATGTTTAAAACTTAAAATAAATTATGGTTAATTTTAAAAATTTTGATAGTATGGAAGTTAAACTTACCAAGACAAAAACTCACAACTTTACAAATATACTATAAAAATAAAAAGACTATTCGAATCAATATGTAAAAACCTAGTATTGGTTTTTAAGCTGGTGAGTCACATTTATAGAAGCTACAAAGAGTTGATATGCTGGCATAAGCATAGATGCATGCAACTTTGTGAGGGGGTATGCTGGTGATGCAAATTTTGAACCAAAAGAACTGTTCCAGACTCGGAACTATGATGAACAGTTTCACACCAAGTGTCAAAACGGTTCTGGTCAGAAATACTAATACAAGAAATACAAGAAATAACTAATACAAGAAACACTGCGTTCTTCATTCTGAACTTTTATGAATATGGTTTTCCACAGAAGAGTGAATTTTTTAATCTGTATTTGAACTTGAACTAATGGAAATGTTCCACAGATTTTTACAAATAATCAAATTAGTTTAGATTATTTTAAATTTACAAAGATACTTTAAAAATTTATATTTTTATTACAGTCTGTAATTACTGTATTTGTTTTTTTAGTAACCAACAGATATGTCTGGCACTGCCATCCAAATCGTAAAATTGCTAAATGTTAAAATGAAAACCATATTATGAAATTACACCTCCCAAAAACCATATTACAAAATGAAAATTGGGAGGTGTACGGTGTCTGGGTTTCATGAAATTCTATATTTTCCTCAGATTCCAAGTTACACAAGGATAATTTGGAGCAGATCAACATTTTATACTCTATACAAAACTGACAAGAAACAATACAGTCCAACAGACTAAGCAATTCAGATGTTACATGATGATTCCTAGGAACAGTCTAGTCCAACTATTCCAACAAACTGTCTAGCTTAACAATTCCAACATTTCCAGTTCCAGCAGCAGAACTAGATCTCCCACCTCTATTTTGTTGACTGATGCGATGATGGGAAAGGGGGAAGGTAAATGAGAAAATATACTTCTTTTTTTACTTCTCGCATTTGACATGTCTTGTAAATGCTTTAATTCCATTTTATTTAACATTAAATGAGGTTTGGCAAGTGATGCAATGACCCAAACAAATATCATTATCACAAGTTACTTGTACACAAGAATTTTTTCACTTGAGCCACAAATGTCAAGAGTAACTCATCTTGAAAAATCAGTTTTTAAAACTCAAAATGACATTAAACTTAGCATTAACAAGTATTTTTACTCAGAATTGCACGAATTGCATTTGAAAATTTAACTTATTAGGCCTACAGCATCATCTGTGAATCATATCAAAAACTTTCATTATTACAGTGAGAAAGTCGTTTTGTCATTATAAGTAAACATACTAAATATTTAAAATAATTTTGTATAATATTTTTTCAATTAAAATATAATTTTGCTTATGTTAAGCTGTTTTGCCTATTGCCAATCTTAATTTGAAACTAGATAGCCCAATAGTTCAATTAATAGTTTCACTTATAAGGGTATGTCCATAAATTATGTCCACATTTTTCTTGAAATTTTTACTCCCCTTCCCATTCTTGTCCCAGTTTGTCCAAGTTTCCATAATGTATCCTCCTCCCCNTGTAGGGCCAATCTCACCCATACGGACACGTTAAGCTCAATTAATTTATGTTCTCCTACATTATAAGATGAAAGTAAAATAAAGCGTTTCATTGGAAGTTTTAATAATTACGAAAAAAAGTACTATTTTACTTCTAAAGATGAAATAAAAATAAACTAAAGTGCGATGAGTGATATTTATTTTCAGCAAGTCTCCGCTGTTCAATGATGCGCAAACACAATACATAGATATTACATGAACTAACAGGCAGAGACTTGTAAAACATAGTAATAATATGCAGCAAGAATCCTCAAAATTTCCCTCTTAGGTGAGTCTTCATGATGCAACTTTTCATATAATAAATAATAGAAAGAAAACCTGACATGGTAAATTATTATTGAAATGCAAGATTTCCCGAGAAATTTTATTTTTCCGGGATTTTTCTCGTAGGGAATAAACGGCAAGAATCCCGGGAAAGAAACCCTAATAACAACTAATGTTTTCTATCCCATTCTAGAATAATCACTATGATAACTAATAAAAGGTTTCATAATTTTTTTTTTTTTATAGTTAAATTTCCAATAAATTTTATATTCGTATAAATCTAGAAAAAAAAAAATTTAGAGTCCAACTATAAATTAATTTTTGAAAATTAATTTGACTACATATGAAATAAACTGTTGCCATTAGTTAAGAATTTGACATTATATTTAACATTTTTTTTATGTACAGTACATTCAATTCAAACTGCCTTTCTCAGAACAAACTACTGAGAAATTTAAGTGCTTTCAGATTTTACACTTGATCAAAAGTCTTGTTTACACTTGATGAGCATAAATATTTGGATTTTCTAGTTTTTGTACCAAGAAAAGCAGTTTAAATTGAATTTATATGTTTAAGATGCTTTCTTAACAAGTGCATTGTTCAGCTCAATTCAAACTCCGAATGAGATAGTTTGGACCTTATCAGAGCTGTAGAGAATACTCATAGAAGCAAAAAAGTCAAAGGAACCATATCTCTACAAGTGACCTTTCACAAGATACAGCTCCCAAAATCAGGTTGTGCAAGATCGTGAGTCATGTCACTCTGCTAAGACTATCATGTTTAACTATTTAGCCCAAACGACTATGCTGGCCCGTGAGCTTCAAGTAGCCCACTTGACTGTTCATGGAGTACTTTATGTTTATATAATTTTAGGCTCACCCCCACTCAATGCCCGAGTGGGGGGTGAGCCCCACTCGGGCACTGAGGTGCAAGCAATAGCCAGCACCAAAGCCAAGACTACATGTGGAACATTGGTCAAGGCAAGCAGTAGCAAACCTTGATGATGCAGAGCATAAAGAATAAGCATTATACTGATACAAATTAAAAACTGACCTCTAGAGGTGATATCTCACAAATGGTCACATGTACAGGTATGGTTCCTTTGACACTTTTTCTCATATAGGACGCCTACAATTCTCGGGGTTGCAAAATCCCTCATTCAGAGCTTGAATCTTACCCATCATTCATGTACTAATGCTGCATTCATCTGACTATAATTCTCTCATTTGAATAGCTATCATAAGAATATTAGCCAAAGTGCTTTGTGACAATTAAGAAAAATAAAAATTCCAGCTTATTTTTATCCTGCAAGCAAGAACAATTTTAATAATGTTCCAGAAAACAATGTACATCTAATAAGCAATTTGCAAAAAAAAAAAAAAAAAACTAAAATGCACAAAGCAATAAATAAATAAATAAAACCACAAAATTAAAAACTCCTCATTACCTAACTTCACTGCCTGTAACCGGTGTTCTTCTCCAATACAAAGGACTTTGCAAACGTTTTTGAACCTAATGTGGTTCTTCTTCAGGCGCTACGAAATTCTCTATATGAATTCGAATTTCCAGAAATAGAGCCGCTATTCCCTCTAGCCAGAATTATTCACACCACGTTCAGCACACAACACCTCAGATGGCTAGAGGCCTTATACATTTGCCTTAACACCCTCAGGAATAAGCACTGCATTAACTTCAAACAAGAAATGAAGATATCAACAGCATGGGAAGCCTTCCTCAATAAATCTCTGAAGTAACAACATACGGATAATGCACAAGTCTACAATGACGCCATTGGTAACACGTGACAACATTCCAGAAAGATTTTCCAAAATAACGGTTAATTCTAGACTGGAAATTCGAATTCATATAGAGAATTTCGTAGCGCCTGAAGAAGAACCACATTAGGTTCGAAAACATTTGCAAAGTCCTTCGTATTGGAGAAGAACACCGGTTACAGACAGTAAAGTTAGGTAATTTATCAATTACGGTGTTATAATTTCTATATAGTTTAAAAACTCCTCTCCAATTTAGGTGGACAGTAGACTCACAGGCACACCACACTAAAAATGTCTACTCCAACAAGATTAAATGACGTTTACACGATGAAAATGCTCTCGCACTTTCATTGTGTAAGGGAGTGACTATGCAGGTGCGAGCGAGCAAATTTTTTGAGAGAGCGAGAACATGTGGCAAGAAGAGATGATGATGTTTCATGCTCTCTGTTTCTTCCTCTCATTTATTATGACCACACAGACAAGAGCAGAAACGTCATCTCTTCTCGCTTGCATCTGCATAGTCGCACCTGAAACGTCATTTACACATAAACACAGCTCTCACATATTTATAATTTATTTTGTATACTAATTATACATTTTGTATAATAATTAAACAGCTCTCACATAATTTACACAAGAGTTTAATGATATTAATGGAGTTATATTCTTTTTGCTTATTTAATCCTTTATAATCGCAAGTTCATGTCTATGGAAAAAATCATTTGAAATTAATTAATTCATAAAACCATAAATGTTTATTAAAGCACAACCATAAAAATTTTATATTATTTTTTATATAATTTTAAAAAGATCATCATCATATTTGCATTAATTTATCAGAAATTAATATTTATAATTTCAAAATTAATATAATCTTAATTTATAATTTTATATAAAGTTCAAGAGTGTTTTAAATATTTAATTTCTCACATTTATTTATAAATTAAATTAATTTAAAGATGTAACATTAAGAATTAAATTAAGCATATTGAGGAATTAAAATTTACTTGAGTTTTTGTCGTCAATTGAATAACCGCTTTGCGAAAATTCAACTTGGAATCCGTATTACCCATTTCGTGTATAAGGCAGAATTCATTCGCCTAAACACGAAAATAATTAAGTCAAATTTTGTTGACAAACTCTTCGTCTGCCGTCAACCATAACAATTGACGACGACGCACCCTATCGTAAAAAATATTCATTTCTAATACCCGTTCTTCCGCCTACACATATTTTTATACTTATTATCCCTTAAAATTTAAAATAATTAAATTAAAATATTAATAAAATATTTCTGTTAAGATTAAATTTTAAAAATTAATTTCTAATATATATAATATCGTTTTCGGTAAACTTTATATTTATTTTTACATTATAATAACTGAATTAATAAATAATTTAATAATTTATAATCACTTAAAATTATGTTATATTAATTAATTTACTTTAATATTAATAAAATTAAATAAATTAAATATAAAAATTTGCAGACGATAAGTTACGGCCGATCACGTGATCGATGCTGCTGTTTTAATTTTTTTTTCTTTTTCTTTATCGTTCTTATATATATCGATTTTTGTATTATTTTACGGAAAAGTTTTGAAAGAAATTTATTTATTTTTAATTTATTATTGAAAATTTTAGATAATACAATCACTGAAAATTTAACAAGAATAGTTAAATTATAGAGGGCAGTGTTGACATAGTTGCATTTTGCTGGTTGGGAAGAAAGAAATCATTTAGTGAAAGTAAAATTAAAAAAAAAAGAAAATTAATGATTTTTGGAATTAATTAAAGAAATACAAATTGCATTTTAATGAAAACGAATAAATATAGATCATGTCTGCTAAATCTCCAATATCTTTACTGAATTTCTTTGTATTTAATTCAACTTATGGAAACAGAGAAGGAGAGGTGAGTTTTGGTAACTTTAATTATAAATACTCTATAAATGAAAATTTTAAGCTTAAAAATCAAAAGGAAATAAACATGGGAGCATTTTAACAATTTAAAACACAACATAACATAAATATATCAAATCAACATTAATACACGTCACAGTAAGTTAAATAGTTTATAAATGATACACAAATTATTGAATATTACAAAACTTTTTACTAAATACATGTAATATACAGATATAATGTTCTTTATAGGAAACAATTGAGTACAAATGCGGCTCCAAATGAGGAAGTAGGGTCCTTATTGGAGCTGTATGTTGTATTCTTAGCAGTAAAAATGTCAAAGGTTAACCAATGGTCTACGTGTGACCCTTTGCGAGGTATAGCCCGGGAAATCAGCCTATCTGGAATTATTTCTCAAAATAATGCTAAAAATAAACTGTTTTTCACTTTACTAGACAGCTAAAAACATAAAACGTGAGATGCCATTGACTGACTACTTCCGGAGTGTGATCAGAGTCACGTTAAGTCTATTGCATGTTTATCCAGCAGCCTGGTCGGGTGTTTTCGGGGGATATATCTCATGAAGGGTCATAAATAGATCATTGATTCTTTTGACTTTTTTACTCCTATAGACACGGTGTATGGCTCTGATAACGTCTCAACTACCTCATTCAGAGCTGCATTTATATCTATTTTTCAGCCTGAATATGCTAGTAAGTAGTATCAGCATTGATTAGTAAGGAAAATTTCTATATGTTCAGGCAAGAAGTCTGATCACATGATAAAAATGAACTGAGCCACTCTTGACCTCAATGGAATCTATGGGGCAATTGGAGCCAATGTAAAAAACAAATGAGGTGGGTCCATTTCAATGGAGGTCATCTTTTGGTGAACAGACAATACTGTCTGATAATAACTGTCCCAACTAAGTTCTTGTCGAGAAATGAAGTACGTAACAGTATTAATGATAATATTTTGTATGGGAAAGGCAAAAACGTGGTTACTAAAAGGACACCATTTAACAACTGACATTAAATCCAAAACAAGAAATAGGAAAGAAAATTCAGATGGGAGATATACAAAAAATTGGAAAATACTATAAATTCTATGATATGAATGTGTATATTTATAAAGAAAAAAATAAATAATTTATAGTATTGAACACTTTTTTCTTATTATACTTTTACTAGAAAAAAATTTTATTTTTAGTCACCATACAAACATACTGGCAGTAATGTTTTTTTAGAAAAAGAGTACTGCATATACTGTATACTAGTAATTACTTGTCCTATCAGCATTACAAATAAATAGTTTAATGAATAATTGGGAACACAAGGAAAATATTTGAGCACATTATCTAGCAAAATGGTTTCTCTTGCACTTATGGTTTTTTGAATTTTTCTTCATTTAAGTCTAAAATTCCTGAATCTTATCAAAAATTGCTTTAATAAGTACAATTAATAATAGTCTTGGATGAAATGTTTGATTACCTCCATTCTTAAAGCAGAAGTTGCTCTGGAAAATTTTAAAATATTGCCAACTATTCTCCAGTTTTAAATATTTTTGCCACTTCAAATTATTTATCATCACCAGTTTTTACTTACTAATTAATGCAGGGGCTGGTAGCCTTATCAGTTGACATCTGGAAAGCAAAAGTAACATGTTAAATTGTCACTTATAAAGAGAAGATCAGATGTTTGGTCTCTGACTCAAACAAGACCTGGTGAACATGTATTTTTAAAAACAAACTACTACTTGTCCAAATAATAGGACTCACTTCTCAAGCATTTTCTAAAAATGGGCCTCTGAAAATTTAGTGTTTAGCTTATAAGTCTTTGAAAGTTTCATGTCTCTGAGCAGAGATAGCTGAGTGGATAAAAGTTACTATGCACTGGAGCTAGATGATATAGGTTCAAATCTTCAGAATTTTAGTTCAGTGTTGTGTTTGAACAAAAGAATATCAAGGAAGTTAAGACAAAAAAATTTAGATATTTTTTAGTTTTCAATAAAACTATCTTGGCAAAGAAAGGTGTGTTGTAATAAGCAAAGTTAGACAGAATGTAAAATGAATCTGATATTGTGAAATTTTTTACCAGACTTTTGTTTGTTGCTAGAATTTCATGATTTTTAACTATATTTATTATACATCTTTTTACTTATATATTTTTCTGAATATCTGTATACATGTATTTTTACATTTATTTCTTTATTTATTGTAAGAGAATGGAAAGACAAAAGTAATAGAAACAGTACATTAAATTAATCAAAATATACTGGAGGGAAAAAATTGTAAAACTCAGTAAAATATTACAATATAAAAAATATACAAGAAAGTAAGTTGTCTTCATTGTTGTCATGTCCAATCACCAGGAACAAAGTAGTGTTCCTTTGCAGAAAGGACCTTTTTATTAGAGACTACACCACTTCAAAATTATGTAAAACAATTAAAACATTAGTTTCTTGTATATTTTTTATATTGTGAATATACTGTCAGCCTTTCTAAGTTGAAATTTATGTATATATTTTTAATTTTGGCTTATCATCAGTGAACTTTTTACTGTTTTACATAATTTTGCAAAGATATAGTCTCTAATAAAAGGTTGTCTCTGCAAGGGAAGACTGTTTTGTTCCTGGTGATGGACATATGGAAATGAAGATAACTTAGTTTCTTGTAAATTTTTTATATTTTGAATATACTTTTAACTTTTTTTAATTGAAAATTTAGTACAATATTATTATAACTTATCAAATATTCAAAATGTTTGTTACTTGATATTTTTTAAAATTTGATTGAATTGAAGAATATCATTTATAAATAAGAATTAAAATAGAAAATTTGAGTTTTAAAATATTGTAATATAATATATTTGACACACATTTAGCACCTGTACTGCCTGGTACAGGTGCTCAATATAAGTACAAGTAGCACAGATGCTAAATATCAAAACATTTAATTTTTTTTTTTATTTTTGTGAGTGCATTTATTTATTATGATGATATTAAATTTAACAATTATTTCCTACAGTAATACTTTAGAAATTCTCAATTAGAATGATTAATACATTTTTGAATTAAAAGTTTTAATCATAAAAACTGAAATTTAAACTAAAGAAATATTTATTTATATAATAATAATTTGAAAGAAAAGTAAGTAATTTAATAACATTAACATTGACTCTTAAAAAAAAAAAAGATATTTGTTTAAAAGTACAGTAATACCTCAGCTTACACTACCCCAACTTACGCGAACCCGGAGTTACGCGATTTTCAAATCTCGTCGATTTGTCTTTTGTTTGAGCGCCATGCAACCCTTGATTACTCACTCCACCCACACTATTGTTCAGCTTACATGTTCAGATGTGTCGCGCAGAATCCACACATACCTACAATTATTCTGTGTTTGTTATATCTACGGAGACTTGACAGACTCTATGTGGTATTTTCTTGTAACTGTGAACGAATCAAAAGACGAGATAAGATTAACGAGAACATTTATTAGCTTACATACATCCAACTTGGAGTTTACACAAATTGCTAAATTATACCCTGACTTATGCGAATTCGACTTACGTGGTTATCGCTCGGTCCCACCTATCGCGTAAGTTTGAGGTATTACTGTATAATAAATAATGATTAATTAAATTCTATAAAATTTATACACTAATGCTAAATAATACTACCATAATTAAATTTTTTATTTTATATAAAATATATATGAAATATCTAAACAGTAAGACTTCTTTATTATTAAAGTTTATTTTGTTTCTGTTGTTTGTATTGTAATTTACATCTCATTTATATTGCTGTTATTTCAAATTAAAATTTTGCACTGTTAGAAAGGATTAAGAGAGCCACATAAACATATTTTCTTATTCATTTTTGTCTGTCCAGCATTTCTGTAGTAATGATGGAGATATGGTAGTTATTCTCACTTTATTCAGCTTCTATATAAAATTAAAACAAAATTTTTATTTTATAATTTTTTTAGTCTCTTCAATTGCCCAGATTATTTATAAATTGACGAGAAAAGTTTGTTTTTAAATTTTCTAAGCATTAAAAAAAATTGATTTTAAAACATTAACACTTTTTGCCTTTTAATTCAACTAATGTTAAAATATTTGTGTTACCACACACAATCATTCAATTGGGATTATCACACTGACACAATTTTCTATGAGAAGTTTATTAAATCAATAATATACATTATCATCATTTTCACAAGTTTTATGAGCATTTCAACTTTTCATTGACTTGAGTTGCGAGTTATTACTTTCTTTAGTTGTTTAATAACATCAAGATTAAAGAAATTCTGATTTAACAAATGTGAATTTTAATATTTTTACCTGTTACTCTTAAGTATTTTTGCATGTTATTAGCTATGTATTAAAAATCTAAGAATTTTTAAAAATATAGTGTCTTGATAGAATAAATATTGATTTGATTAGATAATTTTGATATCGATCGATCACCATTGAGAAGCTATTAATTTATTTCTCAATGATTCCAGAAATTCTTTTTCTAAATGAATTGTGGTTAAATTTTCTAATGAGGAACAAAATTACGTCATTAGATATGGTAATTTTGCTTCTGAAATTATTATTTTTTCTATTTTAAACTATCTCTTTTCATTTCATCTTTAAACACATTTGTTATAAACTTTACTGACAAATATATAAAATTTTTCTAGTCTAAATGCTACTATAGCACAAAACAAAGTTTTACCATTTGCTTATCTAATGTAGAGTACATAAAAACCTTATGAAAGATAAATATTAAGATTTGTATCATATTATCATACTTTGGAATTTTATTTGAACTTTCTGTAGAATATGTAAAAAATTTAGAGTATTTTGGGAGCATGAAAGAAATTTCGTACAATAAATATATTCTAAAATTTTATACATCTTTGCATGCATGACTGATTATCATGCATGCGTAGAGAACTGATCAATAATGATTTGGTACGCATCAGAAAAAAAATGTACAGTATGGTCATTTTACACATAGATTATGTGGCAGAAGACACAAATAAAAATGAAATTCTTCATAAGTATGTGCTCCACCTCAAATAATCCCAGTTGTTTGCCTAGGCCAAGGATGGCAAACTTATGGCAAGCATGACCAAAGGGCATGTTGAGAGAAATTGTTTGGACACAATATATCATATGATTTCATTTATTTTTTACTAATAAATTTCAATTTATCTTAATTTCAGTTTTTTATTAAGGTTTTAAAATTCAGTTCAGTAAGTCATCATCCTTTTCTTGATCAGCTTCTTTACATTTATCTTAATTAGAGCATATTCATTTTATTTCTTTAAACATCGTTACTTGAAGTTTAAACTTCAAGTAACGATGTTTTACCTGAAGTTTATACGCACACGTAAATATTTTTAAAGATAATTATGCAGACTCAAAAAGGTTCTCCATCCCTGGCCTAAGTACTTAATATAACCATTTACAATTTAAATGTATTTAAAATGTTTACTTATGTTTTATTATAAATATTGAATTGTATAAAAATAACTCAGAGTTATCTCTGTGCATCCAAAGTTTATCATTTTCCATCCGCAGAAATACTAATCTGCATAGATCAATCCTGTGTAAAAGAAGACCTTACTGCAATTTAGTGTGCTGTTGTCATTGATTAGTTCTCTGTGCAGTTAGTTGAAAAAAAGTGAAAATGAATGAAGAAAATATTTCTTAATGCATGCATTGAATTATAAGTTATTTAACATTTAATTATTTGGAACATTTAGAGTAAAATTGTTATCATTTAAACACTCAAGTCCTTAAAAATTATGACAGGTAAATCTTGTTTAACATGACTAACAGCATGTAATGCACATTAAGTAAAATTGCACTAATTGAATATAGTAAACAATAGCAATAATTTTAATTATTTGTATTGTTTAATATATTTCATATTACAGAGTATTTCTATTGTTTATTATTGCAGTATTATAGTCAAGTAGTGCAATTTTGGTTCATGTGCATTAATTGTTGGATTAATTAATCATGTTAAGCAAATGTTTTCCAGTAGTAATTTTTAAGGGCTTGAATTAAGGGCTCATATTTATATATATAAGTCATATTACAAGATAAAATCATTAAGCTTAATAAAAAAGAATACAGTTGCATCCACTTAACAGAGCATTGGATAAGGGAGCAGTTTGCTTAAAAACAGCACTCTTCCATTTTCTCAATTTTCTTTCCTCTGTTTTACATTAGTAGGACTCCTGTTAACAGAGCACTCCATTTAAATGTGTGTAAAGAGTGAATGATCAGTCCATATCAATGGAATATTTTGGGGTAGAAAGTTTAAGTGAAATTTTCTTGTATTAAACAATGTAGTAAACAAACAGAATGATTATTAATGCAACAGAATGAATGCAAATTATTTTATTTATTATAGGTTTATGAAATACTGGATCATATTTTAATGTTTTAAATTATATGTTTATAAAATAAAAATAACAAGCAATTTATTGTCATAATTGTCAAGCAGTAGTGTCATGATGAAAATTTTAATCATATTTTTAATTAATTTAATTTAAAATATGTGTTCTCCATCTCAGATTAGTACTGTAGTGTCTTGCCCCTGTATATCATACTTTTCCTTTAGCAATGGAGTCATGCTAGTCATCTATCTAACACCTTTTGGGAAAATTTTTGAATTAAAATATTGTAACTTTCAGTTTATATTGGAAGTTCATATATAGCTAATAGGAGCCTCCTGTCAATAAACCTTCCATGTCTAGTCTTGAATTTCATTTATCTAAAGACTGTTATACACGGTAAGGAAATCCTTTGAGGATTAACCGTGATTTTTTTTTCTATCTATCCATTTTTAACTAAAAATATTTCTTTATATGTTGGGAGATATTTTAATAAGTTTTGTAAATTACTATGTTCGATCCAGCCAGTTGTATCCGAGTTTTTTTCGTCTGTTAAGCACATCCTTTGGGGATTTCCTTACCGTGTATACCAGCCTTAACACTGTTCTCAAGATTAAGGACAACAGTGGGAATTTATAGGTTTACAATTTTTTCAAATTACAGCCCAATAACTGAATTGCAGTAAAGTAACATCTTGTTCTGGAGGGCCTGGATTTGATCTGTGTTTGTAGTTTCAGAAACTTCTACAGATAGTTTGACCTTGTTATGTATAGGACACCATCTCTCACTACTTGCTATCCTCATTATAAGATTGACTAAATTCATGCTTGATGTGAAAGATCTCCTGTTATTTCCTTTGTTGTTGGGATACCAGCTATATTCCAATTAGAAAAATCTTGGGAATTCCATAATCCTGCAGATATATAGGAACACTACTGGTAATTCAATGATCCAAAACTACGGTTTAATTATGTTTATTTTTGTTGATTACATACTGATACATAACTAGATGTATTTTGGGCTGACTTACATTTTATAGTCCCTCATAAGTAATTAAAATTAAGAGCTAGGTATAAGTACAAAATTAATTAAGCATAAAAATGATGATAAAAAAGTGAACTTTATGTTGTATTAGAGCAGTGTTCTGCAACCTTTTTCTACTTGTGGCACACCCATGACTCAACATGGGACACCAAAACGTTATTTTTCTCAAAAACATATGATATGATACTATTAATAGAATTATATAATGCCATTAACCTATTATTATTATTAGGTGTAAACAGACATCAACACCTGTGAGCAAATTTATTTTACATATAATTTCTTAGAATACATAAAAATGCATGGCTTGTAATAAAGAATAAACAAACATTATCTTATTTCATCATTGCTATGGCAGAGAATGAAATACAAACATAAGAAATACAACAACTGTGATGAAAATATATAAATAAAACTTGAAATTAACAGAATATGTAAAAGTTCACATTACACCTTTCACCATGTGATGGCACACTAGTTGCGGAACACTGTGTTAGAGTGTAATCTAGTTATGTATGTAAGCAACCAAAATAAACATAATTAAACCATAGTTTTGGATTGTTGAATTACTTGTAGCATTCTTATACATCTGCAGATGCAATATTATGGAATTCCCAAGAATTTTCTAATCTGTTATGTGTACAGGATAGAAAGAATTTTAAAAATTAATTTAATTATAAAATTTTGTAATGATAATTTTTAAAATTGCTTTTTCAATTACATATTTATAAAATTTTAATCAAATACACTTTTTTTTATTTTAGGAATCGAGAAAGATTATTTTCTACTATCCAGATAAAACAGATTTAGACACGAGGATAAAAAATATTGGTCTTTGTGAAGCAATCATTAAATTTTCTGAGTAATTTTCATTTAATTATTAATTCTTTCTGTAAATACTGAAGATTTCTAATGATAAATATTATTATAATAATTATTCTTTGATATTCACTAAAATTATTTTCAAAATTTTCTATAAGTTTTATTAATAAAATATGAAATGTAAATATTAGAAACACTGTTTACAATTCTGATTTTTGATAAATATATCATTTTTAATACTTAATTTGTCTGATAATGTATTTAATTTATGATTTTGTAGTACTTTTGCCACTCAAAGCTCATGTGAAGTTCTTCACACTAAAAAGACTAGACAGCTCTTTCTACAAGCAGAGAAAAATTTCTGGATGGTTATGGTATGAAAAAATATAAATTTGATTATTTTAAAAATAATATAATTAATATAAATTAAAGAAGTTGTAAATAGTTTAAAAAGTTAATTGATAAGTCTGTTTTCCTATAGTACAGTCTCAGTAATCTGATATACAGTGGGTGATCAGTTAAACAGTTCGGTTAATGAACATTTTCATGAAAGATTTTTATGTTCGGACAACAAACACCTCACAGAACAACCACAAGAAGAAGTGACATAAAATAATGAATACTGATTGGTTTTCCCTTGTCTTCAGACAACAATTTGAGACTTTTCAGAGTGCGGGAGACATCGACATCGATGCTCAACCCAGTATATACTGATCGGATATTATTCCTCCAAACTTTGAAACACTCCCTTGTAATTTCAGCCTTTTATTTTTCTGACAGAAACAGTTCTTTTATAGTATTCGCGAGACTGTCAGGTGGACACTCGTTAAGTTTTGCGTCAGTTTTTATTTTCAAAAGGTGAAAGTATAATATCACAGGTAGAGAGTGGACAGAAGATGTCTGATGTTGCTGGGCAGTATGGCTTGAACAAATCTACAGTAGGCCACAGTTCAATCTTATCTAAGAAAGATACTGTATAATCAAGAAGTCTCAAGCAGCTAAAGGAGTAACAAAAATCACATCTGAGGAATAAAGAACATTGAAGAGCTCATAATTGAACCTGAAACTGATCTGATAACAGAAGAATGCCAAGAACTCTTGAATGAATAACACCAAGAAACTTGGCGCAATGTTTTTTTCTGAAAAAGAGGATTAATTCTGATATCTGCTATTAAACATCTTTTGAAGAAGTGGAGGATGTCAGAACAACAGTCTTAGAATGGCATTCAAACCAGGTTGAGGTTAATAGGCTTAGGGATCTCTACAATTACAATGCTATTAATTACTTCTGAAAAATCCTAAAGAAGAGACAAAAGCAATTGACATTAGACAGATTCTTTAACCCCACAAACGAAAAAAACATGACTAATAAAAATGCAAGACTGTGTATATATGTAGTTTTATTATTACACATAAATAAATGTAGTAAGAAAGTATATATTTTTTATTTTTTGGAGTCTCCAGAACAAATTAATCAAATTTCCATAAAAATCTATGGTAAATCAATAATCGATTAATGAACAATTCAGATAGCAAACAAAGTGTTGGAACAGATTATGTTCATTAACCAATCACCCACTGTATATGGGATCAGAACAAGGAGTCAGTTTATTGCCAGTTTAATTGGAAGTGAGATTAATTCAATGTTTAGTTATTTGGAAAGACACATCAATCCTTTAAAAATAATTTTCAATTGTCTTCTGTTTTTTTTTTTTTTTTTTTTTTTGTTGCCCAAGCATGCTGTCATCTCTGGTAATCACTGTTGCCAACTTAATGGATTTTCAGTTAATTTACTGGGATATTGAAGCAACCTTCAGAAATTTACTTGGAGGTACAGTATTTTGGTGGAAAATATCAGGAAGCTGATTGTTATTTTATACAGTATTGTGTTATAAGATACTGTACCTTTTTTGAGCAGACTAAGATTAAGTGATGAGCCTGACAATCTTTAATATCTTGTTTTCTTTTTGTTTGGCTTGATTTTATGCAATGTTTAGTGGGAAGGTGTACAAATTTAATAGTTTGAACTGGTGGGAAGCTTGTCTATGATATAGCAAGTGCCAGTAAAGTGGATGTGTCAAACTAACAAATGGTGGGTTACAGAGATTATACTGTACTTGAGTTTCAGCAAACATTTTATCATTTTGTTTAATACTTTTCTATAATTCTTTTTAATACAAAAAAGGCAATATCAAATAAATTTTATATAATTTTAATCATTATCATTCTTGATTATTATTAATTTTTTTATCAATTTTTTAGTCTTTAAGCATTCCTTTCCAACAAAAACTTAGAGATGGTCAGCTATATCCAGATTACTATGCTGAGGAAGTGCAAGATCATGTTTTTCAAGCATTGTTAAAAGCACTGTATAAAATGTTCAGGGTAAGAATAATTAAGTCTAACAAGATTTTATTTTATTTCATTTATTTTAAATTTTAATTTATATTCTATGGAATCTTTCAAAATTTTAGAATAATGATATGTTTTTTCACAATTTAATGAGATTTTCAGCAATTAATATTTATTAAAAATCCATTTTTGCAAGCATGTCCCTACATAGTATTTATAACATTAAATAGAAACTACTACTTGCTAAAAATGGAGAGAGTAGGCATTTATTTATATTGAATATAATTTTGCTAAATATATCTTGATTTTTTTTAAATGTATACATCACTTCATAAAGAAGCATATCAATAAAGCTCCTGTCTAATTTATTTGTGTTTATTGTAAATCAAACTATTATGTTTTTATATAAATTTTGCTTTGTTTTTACTGTCACGACTAGGTGCATTTCTGACATCAGTCTTTATTTGGGAATATCTTGTTGGTCGAGACATGTTTTGGGCATAAGTCCCTCTTCTGTCAGCTCAAAATCGAGAGCAGCGATTGTAGATTTTAGTGCATCTGCTAATAATCGCTGCTCTCGAGCTTGAGCCAGCAGAAGAGGGCTTATGCCCAAAATGCGTCTCAGCCAACAAGATATTCCCGAATAAAGATTGATGTCAGAAATGCCCAGTGTCTGTCTATGCACTTAGTTGTGACAGTAAAAACAAACAGATAAAAGAAGACATGGTTTCAGAATACGGCATAAATTTTTTTTTTTAATTTCCAACTTAAGTACATTTCTTGATAAAATAATGATTGACATTATTTTTAGGCTATTTTAATAATAATTTATCAAAACTTTCACAGCAGTATTATAAAATAAAGCAATTCTTGATAAATTATTGACTAATTATAATTATTTTTGAACTGCATTATTATGTTTTTTTCAAAATTTTCTATAAGTTTTATTAATAAAATATGAAATGTAAATATTAGAAACACTGTTTACAATTCTGATTTTTGATAAATATATCATTTTTAATACTTAATTTGTCTGATAATGTATTTAATTTATGATTTTGTAGTACTTTTGCCACTCAAAGCTCATGTGAAGTTCTTCACACTAAAAAGACTAGACAGCTCTTTCTACAAGCAGAGAAAAATTTCTGGATGGTTATGGTATGAAAAAATATAAATTTGATTATTTTAAAAATAATATAATTAATATAAATTAAAGAAGTTGTAAATAGTTTAAAAAGTTAATTGATAAGTCTGTTTTCCTATAGTACAGTCTCAGTAATCTGATATACAGTGGGTGATCAGTTAAACAGTTCGGTTAATGAACATTTTCGTGAAAGATTTTTATGTTCGGACAACAAACACCTCACAGAACAACCACAAGAAGAAGTGACATAAAATAATGAATACTGATTGGTTTTCCCTTGTCTTCAGACAACAATTTGAGACTTTTCAGAGTGCGGGAGACATCGACATCGATGCTCAANCTACATAATCTCTTCTCAACAATTACTGTCTCCTTCAACTTTTTCGCTCTTCTTGATATCAACTCTTCACTACTGAAGGAGAGTAGTGGTTGCTATACAGAACTCTTCGATCCTTCAAAGTATTTTAAGACGTTAATGTTTTATAATTAAATTTTCTTTGAACATTGAATATTTTTTCTTCTCTAATAAAATGTTAATGCTATTTTGTTTCATTTTATTCAGCAACAAAAAATAAGTCACAAAATATTTTATTTGGCAAACTTAAAATGTATTTCTTATATATATATAATTTTTTCTTCAGTTAATTATGGGAACTTTCAAACATAATTTAGAACATGGAGGAATAGAGTACTTAAAACAGAAATTAGAAATATTTTACTTAAGGGTAAGAGTAAATTTTAAATTCATAAACTTATAATTATTTGAATGAATTAAAAATTAATTATTTTACTCTTTTACAGTATTTACCTAAAATTAAATTCCATCAGGTAGATTTATTAGATGTATTCCAAGGAATTCAATTTCTACCTCTTGAAAAATATCCATTTCTGAAAATTCAATGCTTTATTAGCCTTACTGAAGCAACCTTCAGGTACTTAAAACTATATTTTATTTTAAAACAATTTTTGTATTCTTTTTTTAATAGAAAAATTTAAAATACTATATTTCTTTTCTAGTCAGATAAAGTACACAGCCTTCCTTTATAATGATCAATTAGTTTGGTGAGTATCACACTTATTTATCAATTCATTAGCTCCAAACTTTTTAATAAAAATTCAAAAATTTGTATTATGATAGCAGGTCAAAATCCGGTACCTGCTATCATAACAATGCCAATAAAAAATACTGTTTTCTCTAGCAAGAGCTGAAACTTTGGTTTTATTTTATCACAATTCTTAATGATAACTTAATTTTCCCCAATCATTCTATTTGCATTAGTAAAAAGCACAAAAATTGAAAGTAAAATATTTAGTTTCTATTTTCAAAAATTAATGGTAAAACCAATTTTTCTAATGTCTTTTTTTCAGAGCAAAAACTCATTTTTCATTGTATATATGGCAAGAACTAAGTTTTTAAGCTTCCTTATACAATATTTAAGTTTAAATAAACTGTGTAGCAGTTTATGAAGAGAGAATTTTTAATACAACAGTGAATTAATAAGTATATTGGTTTCACTTAATGAAACATCAAACACCTTCTATCATTGAGAAATGTTTATGTAACGAAACACTAACGTTTTCATCTTCATAGAGTAGACCATCTTCAGGTGTAATTGAATTCAAACGTATTTTAAAATTGTATCGATGGAACGTTCGAACATTATACATTCAAATTTAAAATGAAAATAATAGATAAATTAACAAATAAATAACAAAATAAAATATACTAAATATACAGAATCAACAACAATATAAATAATATAATAAAATAAATAAAATAAAAATAAATACATAAAAATGCATCAAACTATAAGAGCAGGTATGGACTAAGAATTTTTATATTTTAATTTTTTTTTTTTTATATATATAATTTTCAGATTTTAATTTAATGCTAACTTTAACAAAAATGAGTTTAGCATCATAACAGAATGCTTCCCAAACCAAGACAAAGCCTCCACCCATTTGTATACTAAAAAATTCTCCAGATGCCTTGCATAAATCATGCCAATATACATTATTCCATTTGAGCTGTCGAGATTGAACTTCTTTTTATCTGAAAACATCACATTGTTCCACTCTTTTGGTCCAGGATGTATACATTTTGATCCATTCTAATCGAGCTTGTTTATGTACCAAAATCAATTTGGGCTTACCCTTTAGTTTTATGTAACTTGCATTCTTGTTTTTTTTTAATGTTTTCCAAATAGTCAACAAGTGAAACTTTTGTTCAAATTTTATGTTCTGTTGACTTGCCAGACCAAAAACATGCCTGTAATTTTGCAAGGATTGATTTTTTTTCGACCAGATCTCTTGTTCTGTTTAATTTTAATTTTTTCCAAAATATGCTGAATTCTGTTTTGAACCTATTAAGGAGACTGGCTATGGCCCTTTCTGTGTAACCAGCACCAGCATAATAATAAATTTTTCTAGATTTCTTCTCCCAATTCACTTCCTTCTGGCATGATGTTTAATCATAACTACTCAAAAATACACTTGAGAAAATCATTATAATTAGTCATGTGACATCAAAGAAAACCAACAATCATGCGAGTGATAGAAATTTTTTCTAAAGGAAAGGAATAAGCCATTTTCTCACAGTGGTCTTATAACTTATTAACAGTGAAAATTTAACTTTTGTAAAACTAATAACTAAAATCTGTTAAGATTGTTGAACTAATTGTTCAAAACATGATTGTTTATTGTATTTACTTCATTGAGAATAATAATTGAACATTAAACAATGTTAGTTTTGAGAAAACTAAAAAAATGTAGTGGTCTTATAATATCTTAACAGACTGTATGATGTATATATAGCTCCCACCAAGTGTGGAAAAGAATTGAAGTTGTTATATCATACTACAAGCAATTCCTTATATTTGCTACAAGACCAGTTTACTTAAGTAGAAAAGTTATTTAAGATGGAATAATATGACTGAATTTAAATAAAAACAATAAATTTTCCACAAAAAACTTTCAATCTATAAAAATAAAGAATTATCAAAGCTTCAAACAAATCCTGTTTTTAGAAAAATATGCTATCTGTCTATGAGAACTAAGACATTAATATATATTTATAACAGCAAACTGATGCCATTTTGACATTATTGAAAATAGTTTCTCCCTATTCACTCTCTCATTAGATACTAACAAGTTTAAAATTGAGTAAAATTAAAGCACTAAAATATTAAAATATTTTAAAGATTATTCAGAAATAAATTATTTTTGTATTGCATCTACACTTTGACAAATTGTTACTAAACATTAAGTTTTACTGACCATTGTAATATATTTTTTTATATGGTTCTTCATTCTAAACTTACCGTATTTTTCTATAGTCAACGGTTGACTCAGCAATGAATTTTCCATTGAGTCCCTCCATTGAACAATCTGATGTCACGTTTTTCAGAAAAAAGAAACGCTTTCATTGAGAGGTCGCTTTTCAAGATGGCTGACTTAAGTAACAAGAAGGTGGCAATTGTGACTGTTTTGCTAAATAATTAAAGTAACTCGCTTAACCATTACAAAAAACTTTTGCGATATAAGCGTTAAATTAAACACGTATGTCACTAAATTGACGAGCGCTTTCGACGATATACACTTTCGTCTTCTTCAGGTCATTAGAAGATACTGTATAAGAACCTTTTTTTGAATACAATTTTTAAAAAACATTCCAATCTTAACTAACATTTTGGAATACCAGCAACGGTAGAATACAAAATGATATTTAAATAAAAAGTACGCGCTTATACTGCGCATGCGCTAGACGCCTCTATATTGTGGATTTAATTGCGATGTTTTATATAACTCTACAAGCTGATCCACAAAGGGGGCAAATCCAGTGTGGGGGTGTTGCAGGGCCTTAATGCGTTGGTGATGAGGGCTTCCCAGATGTATACGAGATTTTTGTTGTCACAATGTTTTAGTATGACCACATCATTCCACAGAGGAGTATGCTTGTGTTGTAGTACCATTCTGGCGAGTTCTGTGTCATTTTTGCCGTCCCTGATGGAATGTTGATGCTCTAAAATACGGTTAGCTAACATTCTGGTTNAATGTTAGCTAACCGTATTTTAGAGCATCAACATTCCATCAGGGACGGCAAAAATGACACAGAACTCGCCAGAATGGTACTACAACACAAGCATACTCCTCTGTGGAATGATGTGGTCATACTAAAACATTGTGACAACAAAAATCTCGTATACATCTGGGAAGCCCTCATCACCAACGCATTAAGGCCCTGCAACACCCCCACACTGGATTTGCCCCCTTTGTGGATCAGCTTGTAGAGTTATATAAAACATCGCAATTAAATCCACAATATAGAGGCGTCTAGCGCATGCGCAGTATAAGCGCGTACTTTTTATTTAAATATCATTTTGTATTCTACCGTTGCTGGTATTCCAAAATGTTAGTTAAGATTGGAATGTTTTTTAAAAATTTTGTATTCAAAAAAAGGTTCTTATACAGTATCTTCTAATGACCTGAAGAAGACGAAAGTGTATATCGTCGAAAGCGCTCGTCAATTTAGTGACATACGTGTTTAATTTAACGCTTATATTGCAAAAGTTTTTTGTAATAAATGATTAGCGTGCTGTCCATCACTATATTATAGACGCTTAACCATTATTCGAATAAATCCTTTTATTCAAATGAACCCATATCTGTATAATTTTCTTGTATACTGGGTCTTTCTTTAATAATTTTAATTAATTTCTTGAATATTTATATCATTAGGAAGACTTAGAGGGCCAAATATTGGTCATAATCAATTTTGGACAAATGAAAAAAATCTTAATATTTCAATATTGACCAAATTATCCAACATAATCATGCAATTACATGTTTTATCATATATAGATTGTTCATTAATCTGTCCGCTATTACAGCATCCACAGCAGCAAATGGATAGTTTCTACAAGCGAAATTTACTTTTTCATGGAAGCCGCCATGTTAGTTTATTGAATACTCAATGGTCTTTCAGGTCGTTGAGACAGCACTGACGTCACTAGTCTCAACAGAGAACTCAATGGTCCATTTAGAAACATTGTTCTCTCACCATTGAGTCAACTGTTGAGTATAGAAATGTACGGATAGTTTAAAATGTAGATTTCTTCTTTAGTTAATTTTCTTGAAGTAGTTACATCTATATAATCACATAGATGTGTGTACAGTGTTGGTCAATGAATTAAGGATTTTTTTTCAGCTGATAGTTTTTATAAATTAATGAAAGTATCATTTTAGTTATTGTTTAACTATATTATTTTTACCAATATTTTTTATTATTTTAAATTTATTTTTTATTATTCTTGCTGCTAATAGGAGTGGACTTAATCAAGAAGATATGCAAGTCTTATACAGGTTTTTGATATGCCATCTCATTCCATCATTTTTAGAATCTGAGCTTCAGCTTGGAGCTTTTTCACCTTCAAGGCCAACTTCATTTAGTTCTGGTCAACATTTTGGAAGGTATTTAAAAAAAGAGAGAAACTTTAATTAAATAATCTTAAAATTGATTTAGATAGTTATCAATATTTTTAATAATTATTCACATTAGGTAGTAATTAAATTTTGTATACATAAAATTTAATTTTAATTAAGTTTTATATTAATTATATATTAAAAATTATATATATTAAAGTAGTAATTAAATTATATATACATAAAATTTAATTACTACTTTATTACACATTAGGTAGTAATTAAATTTTATGTACATAAAATTTAATTACTACCTAATGTGTAGTACAGTATGATGTAAATTTAGGAATAATTTTTTCTAAACTTTTGATTCTTATTAAACACTGCTTTTATAATAGATTTATTAGCAATAAGTTGACAGTTAGGGATAGAAACAGTCCCTATGTGGACTTGTATTTTTTAAAATTACAGTAGAACCTCTATTATCCGGACTAATTGGGGATGAAGGTAGTCCGGATAAGGAAAAATCCGGATAATCGAAAAAATACTTTAATTTGTCTTTTAATGATAATACAATACGTTTTCTTTTCGATGACATATCGGTAATATTAAAAGTAAATACTGTATTTAAATCGTGATCAGATTTTCAAGAAACAAACGTTCGTATTGAATTTGTACTACTACTGACCAACGCTAACAGACTACCTATTGTTTAAAAGGCCCTCTGGCGGCTCAAGAATAAGGATTTTATAAAATAAAAAGCAGTTGAAACTGCATTTTTATGAATAAAAATTTGACAAACTATCATTTTATGACGAGTAAAATATTTTCGTCGCGTTCGCGGCTTTTAAGTAATGCATAAACCTTCGAAACGCGAGGCCCTTCGGACCGCGAGGCATAGGCGGTGGCCCACGTCGTCCATGCCTTACGCCGCCCTTGGTCATAGAAATGATTTAATTTGAATATAAATTATTTATAAATACGTTTGTCAAGTTATATTTTTATTACGACGTAAAATATA